GAGGAGAGTCACCGACGAGGCCCCTCTGCGTGTGGGACGCACGTAATGGGCGGGTCCTGAATGTGAAGGTAAGAGCTCACGTCCACGGATCCCTGGCTGTGGGTGAGGCTCTGCTGGTGCTCACATATGTTTTCTCATTGAATCGTCTCAGCAGATCTATATCCTCCTTTCACAAATGAAGAAACAGACTCAGAGAGGTTGAGTAATTTCCCCAGAGCCACACAGCCAGTCCTGGCAGAGAGCGGATTTGAAGCTGCATGATGTAACTCATTGCGGAGCCTGCACTCTTCTCCCAGCCACCCATCCTTGGCCGCATCGAGGGAGGTCTGTGCTCACAGACTGAACACTGCCTGTGCAGAGAGGAGCAGTGGACTTCGGCTAGCACTTTGTGTTTGAATTGATAGTTAACTAGAACTAGCGACAGAGCATGCCTGCAGACGTTTGGCCTGTTTCTAAAATCCAGCTTGATGAGCTGCCTCTCTCCTGGGTTCATGTATGTTCAGTGGCTCTCTCTGCTCATGAGAACACGAAAATCCGCCCGGCCTGGCACGTGAGGCCCGAGACCCAGCCAGGCTCCGTGCCCTCTTCTCTCCTCCAACCAGGATGCCCACGCGGTTTGCCAGCCAGGGACTCGCCTGCTTCCTCGCCTGAAATGTGACTCCCGCATCTGGAAATCCTGCTGATCCATCAGAGCCCGCTCAGCTGAGCAACAGAGCGCGTGCAGAATGACAAAGCGTGGGGCTGTTTTTAAGAACTAATTCTAAAGTTCCGTAATACTCAGCCAGGCCTGGGAGGAAAGGTTATTTGGACGAGCTCTCAGCCTGTTGTGAACGTGGGGTTGGGCGGCCTCAGCAGTGGATTCCAATCCGTTTCCCACCAGGAGGAAACGCTCAGTATCACCTGGATGAGTGGCCTTTCCCTCCAACAGCCCTACATCTACCAGTCGGCCTCGGCAAAGCTTTCTCTACATGTAACAAGCCCCACGTGGCGCATCATCTCTTTGCATTTAATTACAAGGATTTGCATTTGCAGAACCAATTAATCAGTAATTAGATAGCACTGTACCAAAGAAATAAACAAGGGTAAAAAAACAAAAACACACTCAGCACAGGGCCACGTCCCCGTGCTCCAGGCAGCGTGATACACACTCCCTGAAACGCGCAGGCTCGCCGAGGGGTGAGCAGCGGGCCATGGAGGTGTCCTCGTGACCTCCCGGGCCCACGGGAAACGCAAAGGTGGTCAGACACAAAACTGGTGATGCTAATGTTTGTTTTGCTCTTTGCTCTTCATCGGGAATCTGCTTTCTGATCATTATGTTGAAAGGTCGTGGCAGGCTTTGGTGATGCAAAAAATGCATATTTTATAGAGACACTTTCGCTATTGATCTTCATATTAAAGAGAACACATAGATCAGCTTTTAAGTTAATTATCAACTAGACCTCTAAAACAAACCTTAGATGTGAAAAATCTAAAAGATACAAAGCAGATTACAGGAGGGAAAATAGAGGCCCCTGAAACAAGGACTGGAAACAAGTGTGGCCACGGAGTGTGTCCCTATAGGAACCGGGGACCCTCTCTCCGTGCCGTCCTGCCATTTCCCAGCGCCCAGCTCCCGGGCCTCTGACCCTGGCTCTCAAACCTTTTGTTAAAAACAGAAGACGGAGTTGGAATGAGCAGCCGGCAGCTCCTGTAATTGTCTGGGACAGATGACTGGCCTGCTCCGGTCCCCACCACAGTGTAGAGCCATGGTGACGGCTGGGCTCTGGGAGCAGCCGGCGAACACAGTGTGTCTAGCAACCTTTCTCCTGGGAGGCCCTCGTGACACCCCACTCGCCTCCATGGGGGGGTGGGATGTGAACATGAATGACCTGAAGGTGCTTTAAGTCCTCTTCGCGCTGCTTCAGTTTCTGCGGGAAACTGGCCTCGCCTTTGCCCCCAAGCCCGCGATCCTGTGAACTGTGGGTGCCGTAGCCTTTTCAGGGTGTGCCATGGGATGGAGCAGCTCTCCCCGGTTCAAGGTTGTCCTGAAGACCTCTGCAGAGCACATGGCACTGTGTGCTCACTCACACACCTCCTAGAAGCATCTCTCATTGCCAGTCTCTGAAAAAAGGAATTGGCCTTTGAATAGAACAGTTTTCCAAGAAAGAGAGCAAGGTGCTTTGAGAAGAACTACAGACGGAGACTGCCAGCTCCCGTCTGGGACTGGACGAGTGACTTTGCTTTATACTTCAGCATCCTGGCGCACGCTGGGGAGCCAAAGAGTAAACTCTTTATAAGTTTGTCGCGGCACTAATTGAGCAGCCCACCCCCAGAATTGGGAGCGATTTGACTTTCTCTCTCTGCAGCTTCACTGCTTTTAACATCAGACGGCGCGGCTGGGACGAAAGCCGTGTTTGTCAGTGTGACCGCTCATGTGCCCACACGGTGTGAACCCTCCTCTCCACGGCCCCCGGGGGGTGCTCGCGCCGGGAGGTGGCACAGTTTATCTGACGTCGGTGTACTGCATGCATTTTCGATACTAACTTCTTTATGGAAATCAGCCCAAGTAAGCTGACTGCTGTCCACAATGGCCATTGTCCTGTGAGCCTTTTTGGGGGGTTGCTGGTCAAAATTTATAAGCCAGAGTGACCTCTCCGTCTTGGTGAGCGTCCGTCCGTCTCGGTGAGCGTCCGTCTCAGTGAGCATCCGTCTCAGTGAGCGTCCGTCTGTCTTGGTGAGCGTCCGCCTCAGTGAGCGTCCATCTCGGTGAGTGATGGCAGTGTCTTCACTCCGCCACTAGGAATCGCTGCTGGGCCCTGTCCCC